GTTGAGGAATGGGTGAAGGAAGATGAGCTACAGGGGATGGAGAAGGGGTGCACAGGGACAAAGAAAGAAGAGGTGCTCCGGGGAGCACAGTGGCTTAGGGGCGAGGAAGCACAGAGCCACGGAGGGAGTGCCTGCTGTGTCCAATGTCAGAGGGAGGTCAAGTCAGGCCGGAGGACAGAGTGTCACCTGGACTTGGGGGAGAGGCAGTCTTCTTCCAGGAAGTGAATCCGAGGCTGAGCTTTGGGAGGTGAGTGGGAATCAGCTGGACAAAGGACTGGGCCTTTAGGAGGCACAGAGTGTGCGGAGGCCGTTGGTCGGAGAAGCACAGTCCATTCAAGAAGGCCAGTGTGGCTGGAGGGGACCGTGAAGGGACTAGAGTGGTAGATGAAGTTGGCAAGGCAGGCTGGGTCCAAGTTGGGCTTAGAGGGGAATCAGCTTTTGGAACCTGCCGTCTGTGATCCTGACTTGGACGAAGGTCAAGGACGTTGAGGGTGCTGGGTGGGAGCATCCACAAGACAGAGGCACAGGAACAGGGAAGAGGGCGACAGAGGTTGCCATGGGTTTCTGGCTTGAGTGACAAGGTGGATGCTTGGTCTCATTCACTGGGATGGAGAACCCTGGAGAAGGCTGGCCTGGCACTTGTGATCCTTTTGTATTCGGAAAGCAGTTAGGTAGGAAGATTCTAGCTTAACAGAGAGGTGTTGATGGGGATCGTGCATCTTTGGAGGTCATCAGCTGTAGGTTGTTCTTGAGGTCATGAGTACAGGCAGACCACAGAAGGAAGAGCCTTCCCAGGGAGAGAAAGAGGCATTTTCAAATCAACAATGGATTTTATCACGTGTGGGTTGGGGTGAGCAGACCCCAGAGGACCCCAAATTTATTCCCTTCACATCCTCTCAGTTRAAGACATGAGGGAATAGACTCTTCCTGTTATAAGCTCCTAATAAGAAAATCAATGGCTCGTCAACTTACTGAGTAAATATTTGTTGACTTGAAAAGAATAAACCTAGAAGTCAAGAGACCTGAGTATTCTTGACTCGGAGATGAGCTGATTTTRTTATGGAGAGCACATTAGTTGATCTCGCTAGGTTTGGTAGTTTTATGTTTTAATGTTAATTTTTTTTTTCAAAAATTTGGAAGAAATATTAGTAAACTAATAACTTCCCAAATAATTTGAGACATTTATAACAGAAATGAGAGAGAGAGAGAGASAGAGAGAGAGAGAATGAATCAGACACTCTAGTTGTGGCTTAGACATGTTGTGAAATGGTGTGAAAATTGCTACACTACATTGAATGTTAAGCTCTCTGACAGTTGTGAAAAAAAGAGCGGTGGGTTTTCATGGTGGAGGTTTTACACACACGCGTGCGCACACACACACACACATTCATGTGGAGGGATAATTCTCTTTTCTGGTTGTAAGGCACAGCAGGTATTCACCAACGGGTCCCCTGAAGTGGGAGCCAGGAGCCACAGTGTAGAAGACAGGGGCAAGTCCATCCACGCCACGTGCTCCATTCAAGACCTCGGAAAAGTGGCTCCAGCCCCCCAGGCCTCAGAGGCCTCTCGGTGAAAAGGGGGGTGTGGATCCCTGATCTGGACTGCTGGCCAAAGACAGTGGACCGAGTCCCTGTGTTCACGTCCTCTGCTTCTCTAAATCCCACTAACCCAGAGGAAAAAGCAGGAAACAGAGTATAGACCTCCAACACGGTGGAGACGAGACCACACACTGCGTCATTCTGGAACACAGAAAAGGGAAGCCACATCGATGAACGGGAGGGAGCCTTCTTTAGGTGTGGGTGAAGCGACCGTGAGGTAGAGCTCCTCTTCCCAGGGACCTCTGGAAGGGTCCATGCTTGGGCTTGGCACCTGTGGGTTGGGTTAGGAAGGAGGAAGGAACAGGGGTGATGAGTTGCTGAACGGAACATGGAGGCGTTGCCTAAATCCCCAGACCCCCTCGGCTCCCAAATGCATGTGGATTTATCTTTTCCTGCCCTGTGCGATTAAGCTTGCAGCCTGTTGTGGATTTAGGGTTTGTGTCCTCTGCAATCCATTTGCTGCAGCCCTAACCCTCAATGTGATGGTATTGGGACATGGGGACCTTGGGGAGGTAGTAGGTTTAGATGAGGTCATGGGGTGGGGACCCTAGGATGGGGTTAGTGTCCTGATCAGAAGATGAAGACCAGAGCTCTGTCTTTGTCATGATAAGATGGCTATATGCAAGCCAGGAAGAGAGCACTCATCAAGAATAACCTCATCTTGGACTTCCTGATCTATGGAACTGTGAGCAGTACATGCCTATTCTTTAAGCTACCCAGTCTCTGGTGTTTTGTTATAGCAACTTGAGCTTATTAATAGACTGCCTTTGTTAAAGTTGGTATCCTCAATCATGTGCTCAGAACTCACACCCTGTGGAAACAAAGGCCTTGAAAACAAATACAGAGTGTTACAATGATGTCACCTTAGCACTGGTGTCTTTAATTACAGAATTAGTCTTCATATGGAGATTTCTTACAACACTGATCCCCAAAGACTGAAAGACATTAAACTGGACCTTAGAGAAGTCACTGCTCTACAGAAACAAACTCTCTGGCACCTAATTTACAGAGCTGGAAGCAGCAGCCGCTCAGCCTATACTTTTTTGCTCACCTAACACTTTCCTTTGGATGTCTTTGTCATGATAGGTAGTTCTCTGGGGGACTGGTGACCTACAGCTAGCACCAGGCAGGGAGGGTCCAGTTGAGAGGCTGTCTGCCATGTGCTGTCTAGAGTAGAAATACACCTCCTTCCTTTTCCTTGCCTGAGGAGTGGGTGCCCAAGAAGCTGGAAGGATCCACCTGGCCCCCATGGTGGGCCCTTCCCCAGGCCCACCCAGGAGCTGTGCAGCCCACAGGCCTTCCCTCAGAGGCTCTGGTCTCCATGGTGCATCCCCGGAGTGGACAGCTAGCTGGAGGGCACACTCCCACCCCCTCAGTGTGCAGCCCCGAGAGGGTGGGCAGTGTCCCTAGGCACCAGTGGTCCTCTGTCCCTCCCATTTCCCCTCTGTTAGTGTCACATATTCTCTTTATGGTGGAAAAGTGTCTTTCCATCATGGATGGTTCTCCACTCTGTGAATTAAAGAAATGATTTTTTGGGGGGATGGGGGGCTGTGAATCCTCAAGGTGTTGTGATTCATACACAGAAGTAGCCTTTTAAAGCATTTAAAAAGCCTCCTTTTTCAGAAAGTCTGGTTCTTAAAAATCAAGAATTCTGTAGCTCTAGAAAGCTGAGGCTGGTCCCCTAACTTGGGCCTGAGGTACCTCCCCATAGTCCCCAAGTAATTCCTACCCACACAGCACCCCTCCGAGCCACGGAAGGAGCTGGCTTCCTGGAGAGCCCTGACTGGTACAGAGGGCAGTGTCACTGAGAGACCTTCCAGGCTTGAGGAGTTTGTTAGAACGAACAGATTAGCATCAACCGCAGAGAGAGCACACATAGAGAGAGAGACAGAGGAAATGTCCCATCGAGCCACCTGCCATTCCTCTTCTAGAAGTGATTCCACATGTGACAACACTCCCAGGCCTGCATTCACTATTAGTCTTGGAGATACGTCCAATACAAAGGCTCATGGCTTAAAATTGAACCTGGAGTTAATTAATTTGCTTGTGACTTTTATTGAGTTTAGTTTAAGAAATTATCACTTTAATGTGAACAGAGTTTTTTAAAGCGCCATAGAACTTTACAGTTAGCTAAAATAGAGGGCCCTGAGTTGATCAGACCCGCCCTGTACATTTGTTTTGATCCTGTTGTAGAGGTGCTTTAACTAGTCAAGGATTTGATCTTGGGCCACTGGATTATTTTGTGGTTTTGAAATTTGTTGTGATTTTTTTCTGTAGGGAGGTGTGCTGTTACTGAGTAGCGGGTCTGCTCTCCCTCACGGTCCTAGCGAATCCTGTGACTCCTTTTTACCGGCTTGGAAAAGCCAAATCAAGCTCAGGTCATTGCAAGCAAGTGACTCTTATTGGCTTCTTTTAATTTTTTTTCCTCCTTTATTTTTTGTTCACTTTCATTCGCTTCCTTCTTTTCTTTGTTTTGACATTGAATAAGAAATTAAACCTGAAGCTCTGGATGGGAATTAAAGTCATTTCTTGAAAATCCAGGCCTTTTACAGACAATAAAAATTATAGGATACACTAGCAGAGTGAGGACTTGCCTGTGTTTAGGCCTCTGCCAAGATACAGGAGGAGTAGGTCCTAGAACACCCGTAGAAGCAAAATATAAGGCACCTTCTCCTGTCTGAGCTCATGGTGGTGTGATATACTCCTGCTTTGTGGTATTAATGTTTCTGCAGAGGCTGAAATGGAGAATATCCGGCCATTTCCTTCCCATGGAACAATCTGTGGACTTTCCAAATCTGCCCATTCCCAAGGCATGGGGCCCAGTAGAAATCAGCCAGCCACTGAGGCTGATAGTATTAGGCATAGCAAATGAGAATGGGGTGAGATTCTAGATAGAATAGAATGTAGGGTGAAAACTAGGATATTAATAAAAAGAACACCCATCCTTCATTGGTCCATCCAATGGAAAGAGTAAGATATTGSTAAAAAGGGCGTCCACCCATTCCCTTAACTCTATTAATAAGTACAGTTTGTACTGTGAAGTCCTCAGTAGGTGCTAGGTGTGTGGCTTAGTGAGCCTCACAGTCTTTTGTGATTATTTATTCCTTATCCTGGGCTGAGTGCCCAGGGGGAGAAGCATCCTCACTAGGAGAAGAGAGCTGAGACAGAGCAGCGTAGCCGAGCGAGTGTAGACTGGTCAGGTTCTACAGAATTGTCAGGACTGGAGGAGCAAGAGGGTTACTGTTGGGACACACTCACTGGCCAAGCTGATTTTCCCCGTTGACTTCTGGTTCCTTCTTCAGTTCTCAAGCTGCCTCCTGCTACTCTCTGGATTGGAGTTTTAGGGGAGGAGAGGCTGCGGATCCTGGGTAGACTGAGTGAGCTCTGGTGGTTAAGGAGGTGATGAAGCCCTTCTTTGGGAAGGATGGGGTTGCTAGCCAGGAGCCTGCAACATCTGTCCTGAAGAGGGTGTTGAGGACGYGGGTTGTGCTCATGGCAGCTAGTGAGGGGTGCCGAGGACCACAGCGGAGGTATGAATCTGCCTTTAATCTCACTTATTTTGGGAACAAAATGGAGGGAAAATAATTCTMAAAACCTCTCTAAACTTGGTCTAAAAAGACAAAGATCTTTCTTTGTCTCTTTGCAAGAATTCTTGTAGGAAGKCTAAACGCTGTTTGACTTCTTTCTAAAGTGGATTATTTGCTTATGGTTGCTTACATTTTCYACCTTCTGGTTATTTCCCAATGGAGGCTTTGTTGCTGTCAGGATTGTGTGTTTGCTGGAGGTGGTGGAGTGCTCTAACCCAAGAAAYGGCTGCTAGGGAAGATGAAGCACCATTTTGTTGAGTTTTCTKTAGGCAAAGCTAAGGGCCACCTGGGGAGAGAAAGCAAGGAGTTAGTGCAACACAGAAGCCAGATGGGTATTTTTTTCCTCTAATTTGTCCTTTGTTAATTGAAGATATTTCTCTAGTTAGTTAAAAAAAAATCACTGAATTCTTGTTTTAAATCTTGAAGGCACTTCATATTTTGGCTACAATATAAGTTATATACCATTCATTTCAGCAGTGAATTTCCTGTCCTGGCACACCAAGTGCATCCCAAGCATTGCTGGAAATCAGTGGTTCTCTTTCCTACTGCCTCTTAGTGCATACTGGAGTTCAAGTTCACAGTTTCCTGTTGCTTCTGCAGCCAATAAGAATTTACAGATGTAGTATTCAGCTTCTCAAAGTCTACAGCAAAGAAAATTAGGATAGACCAACTGAGAATCAAGCAATATGGATCCTTAAAATGCTTTCAGTTGTCTTTTACCTATACAATTAAGAAAATTTTAAGGGATTTTTAATTTGTTCTTTTCAGATATACRTGACAGTACAGTGTGTTTTGATATATTACACATACATGGAGTATAAGTGATTCTAATTAGGATCCCATTCTTGTGATTGTATATGATATGGAGTTTCACTGGTGGCAAGAAATTAATTTTAATATGAAAATTAATCACTTTTTTAAAAATTTAAATTTTCTAAAACTGATACTAAAAGTGTAAAATTCTTCATATTTATAATGGGACACCATGTGATGTTCTGATACATATGCACATTAGGGTCAGTCACTTTCCCTTTAAAAAGTAGAGTATTACAAAATATACTGTAGTTCCCTTTGACAATCACCTGTAATCTTGATCTTTCCCTCCATTCTCCAGAGTTAATTATTGTATAGTCTGGTGGGTATCTTTGAGACCATTGACAATACTTTTTGCATTCATATTTGCACCCAGGGAAAATACTTTATTTTACTTAGCATTCACTTTTAAAACATAAAAGGTATCATGTTGTTACTTTTGTTCTCTAACTTACTTAAAAAACAGTATGTTTTTGAGATCTATCTGTGTTGCTCCAAATAGATGTAATCTGGTTCTTTTAACTGCTTTCTAGATTCTGTCCTTATGGATGTAGTAGTTTACTAATTCCTGTGTTAATAGACACTGTACCCCATGAACATTACCAAGAACTGGAAGAACTGTGGGTCAGAGTGCCCCCAACAGTACTTGGGATGTTTTACATGCCTGTCCATTAGGCATCCTTTAAAAAAATATTTATTTTTTAGTTTTAGGTGGACACAATATCTTTATTATTTTTATGTGGTGTTGAGGATTGAACACACCAGTGCCCATGCATGCCAGGTGAGGGGGCTACCACTTGAGCCACATCCCCAGCCCTCATTAGGCATACTTTTTTTTAAAATTTACTTGTTCTACTTAGCTGTACATGACAATAGAATGCATTTTGACACATCATACTTATATGGAGTATATAACTTCTCATTCTTCTGGTTGTACACGATGTGGAATCACACTGGTCCTGCAATCATATATGCACATAGGATCATAGTGTCTGATTCATTCTATTATCCTTCCCACCCCATGACCCCTCTCCCCTTCACTCCCTTCTACCTAATTCAAAGTACCTCTATTCTTCCCTAGCCCCACCTACTTATTGTGTGTTAGCATCTCCATATCAGAGAAAAYAGTGGCCTTTGTTTTTCTGGGATATGGTTAACTCATTTATAATTATACAGCACAGAGAAGTAATCATTGCTCCAGAATTACCACCAGTTCTTCTTCTTTTCCCTCCCTCCCTTTTATCTCTCCCTCCTTCTTTCTTTCCTTCCTTCCTTCCCTCCTTTGTGTCTTTCTTTCTTCTTTTCTTTTATTCCTACTTAAAAAAATATGACAACAAAATTCCTTTTAAGGTTTTACTTGCCTCATTTTTAAGTGAAGGGACAGGAACAGCCCCCACTCATAGGGTTATGGTGTAGAGCAATGGGAAAAGTTTCTGGATCAGTACATAATCGTTGTGAAAAAATTGTACATATACCCATACATACATACACATACTTATGTATCCTTATATGTGTATGTATGTATTCTAATACATATGCCTGTATAAATATATAAGATACTTTATAACCAGTACTGAAAGCAGGTCTTCAAAAGCCTTTGGCACCTCAGTGTTTCTYATTGCAGCCCCGCTCACCCCAGGAGAAGAAGACTCAATGTCTTTAGTAAAGCCAGATGATTTTAGATCAGTGTATTCTCTTGGTTTTCCCCTGGGATTCTGGGGATGGTGTATTCTTTTCAACAGGGATATTAGGTTAGAAGGGGCTTCAAGTAAATAAGAGTAATGCCTAAGGGGAAAAGGAAGGGAAGACAATGTAAAGATAATATGATCAACTTTTTGTAATACTTGGTTTTAGCAGCAGTGTCTTCTTCCCAAACGTGTCCCATAGCTGCTAAGGTGCAGGTGTGCAGGTTGACTCCCTGGATCCCACACCCGTCACATGGTCCACTGCACCCACGAAGGCGCACCTGAGTCCAGGTGCAGGGAAAGGAAAAAGAAAAGCAGGAGGCTCAGGAAAGTCCGTCCAGGTAGGGAGGAAAATGGATGAATGGTCAAAAATTGCTTGTAGTAATGATTAGGTGGGAGAAAGGCAATTAATGAGACAATTTATGGATGGTAAATTAAGGGAGAAACTTTACTAGTTGGAGTGAAGGCAGATAATAGGAGGGAGTGTCTTAGAGGGGATTCCTCACTGGGCACCACYGGAAACATGAGTTTGCAGAGAGAGAAGGAAGCATGCCGCAATGCCAGAGTCTTCAGGAATGCAAGTCTGCAGTACAGTTTGGATCCATGGGGAACAAGAAAGATGAGGGTGGAATGGATTTAGGAGTTTTGTATGTCAGAGGCAGGCAGTGATTTTCTTTCTCTCTCTCTCTCTCTCTCTCTCTCTCTCTTGTCCATGGAATAATAAGACAACTAAATGCCGTACTAGCAGGACTGGCCCAAGACATTGTCCACAGATCAGATAATGGGACACGTTGTCTACTTGAACTATGAATAAGCTTTATGCCACTGAGCTTTGAAACCATCCTTTATTCTAAAAAGACTCTGAGCCACCCTGTGAGGCAATTTCAATCATTATCATAATAATATCAGCAGCAAAATCAAATCATACGTAGTTGGATATTTAAAATTAATATAAAATTGCTTCCTGGGTTAGCTGAGAGGTGCCTAATAACTTAGATGGTCCTCGTGTGATGACAATTGGATGAGCTCTTAATCTTGCCATTTTGAATAGGCTAAGAAAAAAGTTTTAAGGTGAAGATTGCTTAATACTTACGGGAAAAGTTGAAGGATTTTCAAAAAATTTTACGAACTCCAGGAGGGCTGAATTAAGACAGCAACCCTCTGAAATGTCAGCTKCCATATGTGCTGTGTCCAGGCTGCCCACTGTCATTTCTTGTCATTGTGTTCATATATATATATACTATGGAGCAAGGCTTCTGGGTTTTGTCTTATTTTTGAAAATTTAAGAAGGATGAAAGTAATACATGGTTGTTGAAAAAGATTTTGGAAAATACGGAAATGTATAATAAAGAAGAAAATAAAATCTAGCCCTGGAACTAAATGATAACCACAGTAAGCATTTTCTTCTCAATGTTTTTCTTTTCTTTAAATTATATTTAATTGTAAAAATAATGCATAAATATATCTTTCTTGAAAAAAAATCAAAACACTGTGTCCCTATCCACAGCTCCAGTACTAGCGTCCTATTGTCCCCTGCAGAGAAAGTACTGTCATTAGGTGACTGGGTGCTCTGTAGGTCTTTCTCTCTTTTTGTTTCTATATATTCATAGTAAGTACATGCAGTGGTACTTTTCCTCCTGTATGTGCTTTGTGAGAACAAGTATCAAACTATGGATGAATACTGTCTTATTTTTGTTCAGTGATATTTCTTGAAGATATTTGTATGCCCCAACATACTGATCTATCTCATATTACCTGTTGCCTCAGACTCTACAGTATGGAAATGGCTTAATATTTTTTCAGTAACCCCCTTCCCCATTTGTAGCTGTTACAAATCGTGATATATCATGAGTATCCTCTGTGCACATGTGTGGGTATTTTTCAAGGGGAACCAATTGGAGAGTTGAGCTCAGTGAGATCCTGTCTCTAAATAAAATATAAAAGGGCTGGGGGATGTGGCTCAGTAAATGTATAAGTGGGTCAGAGACTTATTCATTTACATTTAATTAATTAGTTAATTCTTTTTGTGGTGCTGGTGGATCTGTTAGTTTGCCATTGCTGTGACAAAAACTTYCGATGTGAACAACTCACAGGAGAAAAGATTTGTTTTGGTTCCTGCTTTCAGAGGGTTAGTCCATGGTCAGCTGGTTCCAAGCAGAAGCATCATGGTGGAAGGGGAGAGGTGGTRGAGGAAAGCTGCTCAGCTCAAAGCAGCTGCCAAGCAGAAAGAGAGAGAGGAAATGAAACTGGGGACATGAAATGCTGTTCCAGGGCATGCTCCTTCTWAGTGACCTACTTCCTCCAACCAGGCCCATCACCTAAGGTTTCCACTACCTTCCATTAATGTCATCTAATTATTAATCCACTCATGGATCAATCCACTGATGAGGATCAGAGCCCTTATAATCCAACCATTTCCTTACACTCCACCTCTGAACACTGCTATATTGAGGGTTTCATGAGCCRTAGGGGGTGGGCATTGGCATTTTAAACCACACCATAACTGGATCAAACTCAGGRCCTTGCGTACACTAGGCAAGCACTCCACCMCTGAGCTATACCCCCAGCYCTACATCTACATTTWWAAAAAAATACTTCTTTAGTTGTAGSGACACAATACTTTTATTTTATTTATTTGTTTTTATGTGGTGCTGAGGATCAAACCCAATGCCTTGCACATGCTAGTCGAGTAACCCCAGCCCCTCTACATCTCCATTCTTGAAAGATATAAACAAACTGGTAAGGCATCTGAAGGATATACTCATTTTATACTCCTAGAAGCTATATAGGAAAAYAATTCTTCCCTTCTACTTGGCTGACACTTGGTATTATCAAATTTCTTATTTTTTGCCCAATCTGCTATACAAAAATTGGTGTGTCTGTGTTTTAATTTGTATTGCCCTGAATCTTAGGGAAGTTGAGTATCTTTTCATATTTTATATTTTATTATATTATATTACTTTCACTTGTATCTCCCTTAATGGAAATTTCCTGCTTATATGTTGGGTCCTTTTTATGGGGTCATTTGTGATTTTCTTTCTAATTTGTTGGTGTTTACAAATTTTCTAAGTTCTAATAAAACTTTTTTTCTTTTGCATAAAATTGTCTTACACAACTAAAATGAAAGTGTATATACCATTTTGTATTTTGTTTTTTTAAACTAAAATTTATATTGCATTTAGCTGGGTTGGGTGATGCATGCCTGTAATCTTAGCAGTTTGGCAGACTGAGGCAGGAGATTGTGAGTTCAAAGCCAGCCTCAGCAACTTAGCGAGGCCCTAAGCAATTCAGTGAGACCCTGTCTCTAAATAAAATATAAAAAAGCTGGGGGATGTGGCTCCCTGATTAAGAGTCCCTTAATTCAATCCCCAGTACACACACACACATACGCACACACACACACACACACACACACATTGCATTTTTTCATATGACTAAAGTCTCCCCAAAACTGGCCTGGGGTAATAGCTCAGTGGTAGAGTGCTTGTTCACCATGCCCAGGATTTGATCACCAATACCTGGGTGAGTCTGGGGGAAGGGTAAGCATTTGGTGGTCATAGTGGTATATGCTTATAATC